ACTTTAAGGAAATTTGTAAAACACCTGATTACTTCAAACATATTAGGAGCCATTTAAAAAATCATGAAACTGTAAGGTGCCCTTTTAGCCAGTGTGATTTTAAAACAAATCTGATTTCATCATTCAGTGGTCACAGAAGTCGGAAACATTGCAGCTTTTCCATTACAGACTTTAGAGCAAAAATCGTTATTCAAAATGCAGAACCAAAAAGACAGTGAGCCACAAACTGCCCAGTTATTTCCTGGAGACAGCCATCCTCATGAAACTGACAGGTACCCTCTTGAAGGGGAAAGTAGTTCTATGCCTTATCTTGATGAGGCAACAGAATCTGAGTTTGAATCGGTGGATTATCTAACACTTGAAAGGAAATTGGACTCTTTGTTGCTACGCACGCACTTTTACCGCCATTGCAATGCATTTTATATTGCTTGTGATCGATATGAAGGACAGATATGAAAGACTTTGGCCAATAAATTTTTGACTGGACCTGTTGTTATTGTTGCACATTATTTTGGACTTGAATTTTGTATTAGTTTTTACTTGAAGCTTTCCCCATTTAATCAATTATATAGAACTCAAAGCTGACAAATAAGCTCTTGAACAGGCATTTATTCCAGCTTTATTTGCTAGAGATGTTGTAAATGAAATTAGCTGATTTGGTGTATGATTTAAATTTGCTGTTCTACAAAGAAATCATATCGATGCAATAAAAAGGTTGTGGTTCTGTCCATTTAAAGATTGTTGTTTTTTTTTTAGGACCAATGTTGTTGTACTGAGTAGCATTTAACGACCAGAAGAGAAGGTGAAGCTGCTGAGACCGGAGAACATGACAAACATACTGATCTGATCATAAGTCACATATGATAATATTTCATAAAACCTAATATTTCAAGACTTCTGACTTTACCCCCCATGCTCCTGCTGGGTATAACATTAATTTGAACAAAGATAGCATTGATATTTACTCATCTAGAACATCTATAATAAACCTTATTTGCCCAAAAGGAGGCGTCTTTAAGCCACACAAAACTGATAATTACTTAATTAAAAATGCATCAGTGCATATATTTTAGTGCCTGATAATGTTGAACAGGTGAGTGTTTATCACAGTACTTACCATTATCAGACAGATTTATTCGTTCACTCTCCTGTGATGATTTTGGTCTTTCATATCTCTGTCCTCTACACCAGTACTGATCCTGATCAGACTCAGTAGCTCCTCTGATAGAGAGAGTGTCTCTGTTTACAGTGTAACGCTCAGACGTCTGTAACATTACACTGTTGTTTCCGCCTTTATACCACTCATATCTCCAGTTACTGTAAGACTCAATCACACACGTCAGATTGACTGTCTCTCCAGTGAATACAGGACTGTCTGGTGTCACAATCAGAGTAGATGTGGGTAAATCTGTGAACATATAAAAGCAGACAAAGATAAAGATAAAAGAGACTTGCAATGAAGTATTAACTCAACACAGTAACTGTGTATTATCCATCTTATTTTATATATAAAATGAAATTGATTAAGAATCGACCATTAAAAACCCATAATGGTTGATATTTAAGCTGAATGTTTATTACATCTCTGGTACTTTGGGCCTAAGGTGGGGAAATTTAGTTTTTGGAACGTTAATCTGTTTCTTACCTTATGAAATTTTTCAGGCACAAATAGGTGCTGTCATAAGTCACATTCATTGTTTTGTTAAGATGAAGTTTTAAAGGGTTCATGAAACAGTAAATCAAATGTTCTTGATGTTTACACATATGAGAGGTTACTTTACAATACAAAAGTCGTCTCGTTTCAGTCATGGGAAAAAAAGCTCGTCGACAAACATTGTTCTTCATAGTTTTCGTTAATGAAATTAACACTGGTTCAGAACAAGTGAAGCCCAAACAGTTTGATCGCCGTCTGATGGCTGCTGCAGTGTAGGTCATAAACCCCACCCAAAAACAGTATAGCTATTCAACTATTTCTTTTTATGATTTTAAATCTGTATGTAACCTCAGAATGATCGCAAAGTAAGTCTGATGTTGTGGTGGCTGTGCTTTAAAATTAAATCATTATAATCTTATTTCAAGTCATGAAGGATTTTGAAAGTCTGACAGTAATTATAAGCCCAATTCCAGAAAAGTTGGGACGTTTTGTGAAATGCCATAAAATCAAGAATATTTGTTCCTTCTCTTTGTTGTAGCACATGCAGAATGAGACCTGCCGTTGTCTTAATCTAATAACCATGGACTTCCCATTTAATTTGGATATTCTACAACCTTTGCACTTTTATTTTGCCTCTGTTCCAACATTTTTGGAGAGTGTTGCAGCCATCAAAATCAACATTTGTTTATATTTACAAAATACAATGTAGTTGGGTCAGTGAAAACATCTAGAATACGAGGTTAAGAACAAATTAATGTGTGTACTCATGTGTTGTGAATTAGGCAGAACGTTTTCGTGAGAAGTTCGAATGTGCGTTTAAACATGAATAATTTACGCAATTATAAGTGAATGAGACCCATTGTCTCTGTTTGGCAGTACCTACCTCTGTGAACTTTCAGTCTGATGAACTTGAACAGCAAACTGACTCTCACCTATAATATTCTGACTTTGTCAGTAATTCAGCTGCAGCCCAATTTGGAAAACTTTTGAAAATTAAGGAGCAAGCTTCATGTCTCTCATTAGAGGTCACTGATTTTACAAGCATATGGCTGTATTGCTTTTATCTTGAATAGCAGTGTTAGGCATTGAACTCTCTTATACTATAAATGAAAGTGTTTGTTTTTTATTGTGCTATAATTTTAATTGAACTATAAATCTTTGAAAATACACTGCATTAGTTAAGCTGACTACAAAGTAATGTTGTCTTTTTATTTATGCATTTTTTTTTTTTATATTATGAACTCATAAATGATGAGAACCATGGAAACTTTAATTCTAATATAATACAGTCTGGTATAATGTTTATTTTCTTAAGTAAAATTTTTGGCCCTTCATGGGAGAAAGTGTGTGCTGCACTCACTGTACATACTCTGTCACTCTAATTCAGTGCTGAACACTGTTTTTACAGACAAAGTTTGTTCATTCACAAAACTGACAACTTCATTCTGAACTGAATTTAGCTGCATTATGTGTTTATCTGAGGTGTTAGGTTTAGTATAAAACACAACTGTACGACCCTCACTATGTCTGCAGTTTATATGTAAAGTGTGTACAGAATTTCAGCCTACGACGCCTGAGGTGGACTGTGAACAGAAGTTTCTCCATATAATGACTGACTACATTTACTAAAATATGCAATACATAATAGTTATTAACCACAATTATCAACCACAATCCTTATTCATAATTTGACCTCCAGTTTGAATTACATTTTCAAAATAACCGTTTTTGTTGTTGAGCTGAAATCTGGACGCTGTGTGTGTTCATGTAGTAAAGTGAGTTTTTAGGAGGAATGATATTTAACTCACCCGTCACATTGAGATAAACAGAGCTTGATTGTGATGATTTTGGTCTTTCATCTCTCTGTCCTCTACACCAGTACTGACCCTGATCAGACTCAGTAGCTCCTCTGATAGTGAGAGTGTCTCTGTTTACAGTGTAACGCTCAGACATCTGTAACATTACACTGTCTGTGCCTTTATACCACTCATATCTCCAGTTACTGTAAGACTCAATCACACACGTCAGATTGACTGTCTCTCCAGTGAATACAGGACTGTCTGGTGTCACAGTCAGTGTAGATCTGGGTGAATCTGTGAAGAAAGACAAAAACATTAAGTGACTAAACTCTTTCGTTGAAATTTTGTAAATGTTTCACAAAACGTAATAATTCATCCATGCATCCATCCGGTGAAACTACAGACTTCTTTTTGGTGATTGTAGTGATGTTATTGATTTAAAACGTCACAATCATTAAATAGGTGGCCAATGAGCTACCGTCCGGTTAGGGTATATAAGTTGTTTGGTCATGCCTCCTGGAGTGCATCATGGTCGAAAGCCCGCCCCCTTCCTTTTTGTTATGGACTACCGAGGTAGGTGTTTGTAGCCGTTTAGCTTGGCTGTTTGTTTGGAGTGTTATTCAGTGATTTATGCGATCTTTACTTCTTTAGTGTGGTGTTAGGCTGCTGAGACATACTGTGTGTGGTGTGCTGTTTGCTCTCAGGTAAGTTTAATGATGTATGGGAAGCTGAGGGGAAATTGGGTTCAGTTTAATGTGGGTTTTGTGCGGTGTGCTTTTACGGCTCCCATTGTTGCGGCTCTGCAGTATAACTCAATCCAGGTCGCAGCACCAGCTGTTGTCGTTATAGCCTTTGAAGAAGTTGTCGTACGATTCCTATATCTATTGTTATGAGTATTACATCATCGGATTACCGGGTAGGTAAATTGCTCTAATGGTTAAATAACCTCGCATGTTTTACCAAACTGTAGTTGTAATTGTTGTTTGTTTTTAATGATTGTGTGTGTGTGTGTGTGTGTGTTAGAATAGGTTGAGCGGGAGCAGTTACTAATACAGCTCATTTCCTATTTCTCATTGTTTGAGCCACACTGCTGCTTTTGGAGCCTAATTACGTCCACGTCTAGCGTCCAAGTGGGCTTGATGTTTGCTTATTTGTTTTTTTGTGATTTGGCATTTTGTTTGTGTAGTTTGTTCGTATTACTGTCACTGTAATAGTTCTCATCAGTTGTATTGATTGCCGCTATGCGGTAGTGATGGTATGGGTCATCTTGTAACCATATGACCGGTAATTAGTTTAAATTTGATGTGACTTACATCTGTGATGGTATAATTTTTGTCTTTTGTATGTGTTTTCTTTAGTTTTGAGTGATGGCAATCCTGTTTTTTTTCTTTGTGAACTCTTTCTAAAAGTTTGTTGGTTTTTATTTTTTTCTCTTCGTGGTTAATAATCATTTAATTAATTGGTTTATTTTCTTAATGTGATTGTGATTTTTCTTTCTCTTTTGTTTTGTTTTGTTTGTAGGAGCTGAGTGCTTCCTGAAGTGGGCTGGGTCTTGACAGCACCACGGACATTATTTCACTTGCGGTGGTCATTGTGTCACTGTTGCTGTGTTATTATTTGCAGTGACATTTGTGGGCGTGATTCTGATTGGCGTGACTTCGTTTGCATACCTGGTGCTGTTATATTAGCCCCCTTCTTATATAGGAAGACTCTGCTTCCTACAGGTTTAGGGTTTTTGATGTTTGATTTTGATTGTTTTCTATATTGAGAATTTTGTTTGTCTCTTTCTTTTTTCCCTCTTTCTTCGATCTATGGTATTTGTGTGTGCTGGCTGTGGGTTTTTTTTGGCCAATTCTTTTAGCCTTAATAAAAGTTGTTTGTATGGAAATTCACGCCTCTCGCATTTTCTATGTGGAACGTAGTTGTATGTCCGTATTTGGGTTGTTTTCCCTGGTATTTCGGGGTGGCATATTCACTACAATTGGGCCACTTGCTACATGTGGCGTAGTCGGCAGGGTACATAGAATATTCAGCGGAGGCGTGAAATTCTGTATTGGTTTTTGTAAGACTTTGTGTGTGTCTGTCTTACCTTTTTCTTTTGTTTTTTTTCTCTTTAGGTATAAAGCAGCAGTGTGTGCTCTGGAGACTGCAGTTTCTGAATCGACTCCCTTAATGGTTAATTGTTTGTATTAGAAGATATAATGGATGGAGAATTACAGGAACTCAAAGAGCTTGCGGCTCAACTTAGAGCTGACAATGAGAGGTTGCGCCAGGAAAGGGCATCGCAAGAGGCTAGTGTTGCTGGGCCTAGTGCTCCTGCCATGGTGGATGTATCTGGGGTCCCACCATCTACTAGTACTAATACTCCAGAAACCGATATGTTTGTATTCGTGCCGAGAGATAGGAGGTGTCCAAAATTTAGTGGAAAGTCTGGGGTGAGTATTAATGAATGGGTTGAGAAAGGTAGAGCATGTATGCAGGCTCGTTATTTATCCCCTGCAGATCAGGCCTTCTTTCTCTTTGATCATTTAGAAGGGGAGGCGCGAGACAAGGTATGATATCGGTCAGATGAGGTGCATGGAGATCCTGAGAAAATTATTAAAGCACTGCGTGAGTTATATGGATGTTCATTGTCGTATGTAGCTCTGCAGGAAGCTTTCTTTTCCCGGAAGCAGCAAAAGGGGGAAACGCTTTTGGAGTTTTCCCTCGCCTTGATGGGCCTCCTGGAGAGGGTTAAGCAACAGTCGCCGAATGTTATGGTAAACGCTGAAACGGTACTTCGAGATCAATTCGTTAAACATGTTAATGATTGCAGATTGAGACGGGAGCTTAAACGGCTGGTGCGTCGACAACCAAATTCCACATTGTTAGAGGTTCGGAATGAAGTCCTTCGATGGGAGCAGGAAGGGATGCCGGGAGGTGTGAGGGCCCGAAGTTTATCTGTCCCTTTAGCACATGGCATTCAGTATGCCGTCCAGGGGGATTCGCGGGTGGGGGCTCGTAGCTCGCCTCAGATGTCTGAATTGGGTGAGTTGAAAGAAATGCTGAGAGCGCAGCAAAAGCAAATAAATCAGCTTACGCAAAACTTTGCTCGATGGCAAGGTTCAGACATGCGTAGTCGAGCGCCTCGTAGTGGTCCTGTAATTTGTAGAAGGTGTCAAAAGCCAGGTCATTTTGCGAGGGAGTCTGATGGAGAGCGGGTTCCCCAACGCACTCCGTATTCCACTGTGGGGGGTAGGCAGACTTATACTTCTGCGCAACCAGAAAACTAGTGCCCACCGGGCTGCAGAGCCACAGCTCGGCTGGGGATCTTATTGGCTCTGTTTTCTCAAATGATCCTGTGCCAGACTCCCGTTTGATGTCCTCCTGTCCTCATCTTGTTGTGTCAATGGGTGGAGTGCCGGTGCCCTGCTTAGTTGATACAGGCTCGCTTTTGGAGTTTTCCCTCGCCTTGATGGGCCTCCTGGAGAGGGTTAAGCAACAGTCGCCGAATGTTATGGTAAACGCTGAAACGGTACTTCGAGATCAATTTGTTGAACATGTTAATGATAGCACATTGAGACGGGAGCTTAAACAGCTGGTGCGTCGACAACCAAATTCCACATTGTTAGAGGTTCGGAATGAAGTCCTTCGATGGGAGCAGGAAGGGATGCCGGGAGGTGTGAGGGCCCGAAGTTTATCTGTCCCTTTAGCACATGGCATTCAGTATGCCGTCCAGGGGGATTCGCGGGTGGGGGCTCATAGCTCGCCTCCGATGTCTGAATTGGGTGAGTTGAAAGAAATGCTGAGAGCGCAGCAAGAGCAAATAAATCAGCTTACGCAAAACTTTGCTCGATGGCAAGGTTCAGACATGCGTAGTCGAGTGCCTCGCAGTGGTCCTGTAATTTGTGGAAGGTGTCAAAAGCCAGGTCATTTTCGAGAGAGTGTGATGGGGAGCGGGCTCCCCAGCGCGCTCCGTATTCCACTTGCCGGTGCCCTGCTTAGTTGATACAGGCTCTATGGTCTCCACCATTACAGAAAGCTGCTTTTCGCAGCATTTTGAACCATGGGGTCAGGAGCGACTTAGGTCATGTCAGTGGTTACAGCTTTGTGCTGCCAATGTTCTATCTATTCCCTATCTTGGTTATTTGGAGTTGGATATTGAGCTCTGTGGCCAGGCTTTCAAATTGCGGGGTGCTTGTTGTCAAAGATCCTCCTGGTGGCTTGTGTGATCGGATTCCGGGGGTTCTCGGAATGAATGTTTTGAAACAATGCTACCAGGAGCTCTTTGGTCAGCATGGCCCTGCACTTTTTGATTTGCCAGATGTGTCAAAAGCTCCGCGTTTTGTATTTCAGGCACTACAATATTGTGACGTTAACCATGTAACTAGTATAGATCATATGGGTAAGGTTCGGGGTCGTAGGCCGTGTCACATTCCAAGAGGCATGCTTAAGTTGGTGCCGGCTACCTGCTCGGCTGAATATTCTACTGGAAATGTACTTTTTGAGCCCCCTGAGTCCGGTTTGCCTGTTGGGTTGCTGGCTTTTCCAGCAGTAATTCAGGTAGGCCAAGGGACTGCTTATATACCTTTGGTTAATGTTGGCATGACTGTTGTCATGCTTTATCCTCGTTCCATGATTGGTAAGTTAAGCAGTGTTTATGTGGTGAGTTTGCCCACAGGTGTTACCGAGGTTCAGCCTGTGGTGGCTGTTGTTGGTGATCAGAATGCGGAGGTGGGATCCACCATCCAGGAGCAGGTCGAGGCAGTGGACCTGTCGAGTTTATCAGAGGTTGAGCAGAGTCAGGTAAGGGCTTTACTGTATAAGTTTCAGTCGGTGTCCTCTACCTGGGAGGGGGACTTGGGGTGTACAAATTTGATTTCCCAAGATATCTCCTTGGTTGATGAAACTCCGATTCGGCAGTGTTTTCGGCGAATACCTCCATCAGAGTATGAAGTGGTGAAGGCCCATATAAATCAGTTACTGGAGGCTGAGATCATCCGGGAAAGCTGTAGCCCATATGCCTCGCCAATTGTGTTGGTTAAAAAGAAAGACGGTAGTCTGCGCATGTGTGTCGACTACCGTCAGCTTAATGCCAAAACTAGGAAAGACGCATTTCCCCTGCCCCGGATTGATGAGTACTTAGACTCCCTGAGTGGCACTTGTTGGTTCTCGACCCTTGATCTGGCTAGTGGGTATAATCAGGTTCCAGTCACAGAGAAAGATCACTTTAAGGCAGCCTTTTTTACACCTTTTGGACTCTTTGAGTCGAACCGTATGCCCTTTGGCCTGTGTAATGCTCCAGGTACCTTTCG